TAGCTGGCTGGGAATGCCAGGGAGTGGCAAATGTCCAAGGCTGCATCATCAAGTGCGACACACACTGTGAAGTGTGATCAAGCTCAAACTGTTGTTTGTGGGAGTGGATAGACAATAGCCAGGGTCCTGACCCCCCAAGAATGGGGAGAGTCCTGACTACCGGGATTTCTTCATGGGTTTCCAAGCCTGGCTTCCCCCTCTTCACCTTAGGACCAGGCCTCAGAGGGTGGGGTCACTTTACAGTCCCAGGAGGTTTTGTTGCAGGGTTACGTGAATGGCAAGCCAGACATACGAACTGGAGTGTGAGCCTCAAATGCCTGGGAGCCTCATTCAGGTGTGCTCTGACTTTTAGAGCCTTTGAAGGTGTCTCCTCCCAGAGATCCCCGAAGGCTGATAAAAAGTCCTGGGGTCAAACACTAAGCAAGTTTCCATGCCAGCTCCAGGAGGAAGAGTAAAACCTACAGTCTGCAGCCTGAGGACGTGGGGGAGGGGGTATCCAGAATGGGTGAGCAGGACAGGTGGAGGAGAGAGAACTACAGATTTTTACGGCACACTCTGAACATTGCTACTTGAGATAGCGACATCAGGCTAGCAGCATTATCAACTATATAAATACGTAATATCTCAAGAATGCATTGTGTTCAGGAAATTCCAGGGGTGTAGTTCAGTAGACTGCAGTCTAAGATAACCTTAGGGCGACCGCGGCAAGACTCTAGGAACCAGAAAAGGTTATACCCTGAGTGAGCAGAGGCTCAAAACATCCAAGCGATGTTTTATCAATTGATCAACCAACAAATCTCTAGCGACTAAAGGTTGTGAAATGAGTTTCTATTAACCATTGATGAGAAAGCAAACAGCCGCTCCGCCCGCGTTGAAATCCAACTTCACTTGGAAGCTTAAACCTTCGACTTTCCCAGCGCACTTTTTGGAAACCAGGCGTTGCTTTCCCTGAGCCTTGGATTCCAACTGAACTCAAACAAGAGCTGGCTCTCTTGAAGAAAGCTGCTGAGAAAGGAGGTGGCGGAAGAGCCGTCCTAATGATTTACTTCATCTTTGGAAGGAGAAAGGAAGCCTGCCGCCTCTAGACCTATTATTTTTAGAAGCCACCGAAGCCAGAGAAACAGACCCTCTTGAAATGGTACAATGCCTGTGTGTCTGTGAACCTTTCTCTCATTGATCACTTGGGACTTAATGGGAAAAATCAATGGCAGAGAGACGAGGTCATCCACCACGTGAGCGTCAGCGTCCAAGTGGGAGGGTAGGTCACCAACAGGCCGTGGACTTGGCTTCGCTGCCCAGCGGCTCCCCAGCTGACCCCGGCTGCTTTGCTGATGTAGCCCCGGAATAGATGTGGGAGGAGTCAGGATGTCCATCTGTGCAGAACCAGAGAGTTCAAGTTCAAAATGTCTCCCTCCTGGGGTCCAAGGGCATCCGTTTTAGAATTCCTGGGAGCCCCTTTTGCCCTGGTCACAACCTCTCTTTCTTGTTTTGAAAGAAACATTCTAAGCAGGATTGTGAGGTTGCCTTCTGCAACCTTGCTGTACCCTGACTAGCGGAATCCTCACCAGGGCCTCTCTCAGTTGCCGCGGCCGCTGAGGAAGTGAAGCTCAGGGAAGCATGTCCAGTTACTGGCAAGTGCTAGACCCCGCTTTCTTGGATAGATCAGCAGTGCTCCAATCAGCCTCACTGGAGACATCTGGAGCCTATTAAAGACATACTAGCAGCACAACAACCAACCAGTGTGTGACCTGTCCCAGGCCTGCTAAAGCAGACTCTCTAGGGGGTGGAACCAGGCTACCTCCTTTCATAAGGTCTGCAGGGGAGGCCACCCTACCCTGCTGGACCCTGACTCCTCTCCCAAAGGAACAAAAGGTTCAAGAGCCGAAGGAAGAAGGGAAAGAAAGGCAAGGAGACCAACAGCTTTTCGAGTCTGAATTACATGCCAGAGGCCTTATCTAATCTTTCCGGAAACTAAAAATGATTCCCGTTTACAGTTCTGGAAACTTTCTGTTGCTTCACTGGACACATTGAGCAATCCCCACTCCCCACCCTCAAGTCCCACAGCCCCTGAGTGGCAGAGAGATTTGAACTGGGATTTTGTGGTCATGTTACTAAGCCACACAGTAAAGAAATAGACCTGGACCAGGAGAGATGGCTCGGAGGTTAAGAACACTGCTCTTCCAAGGACCTGGGTTAGATTCCCAGCATCCACACGGCAGCTCACAACTGTCTGTAACTCCCTTTGCAGGGGATCTGATGCCCTTTTCTGGTCTCTGTGAGCACCAGTCATGCATACAAAGTACACATATGTACATGTAGGCAAAACACTCCTATACATAAAATAAAATAAAAATAAAAAAACTTCTAGGGCAGTGGGATGGCTCAGCAGATAAAACCGCTTGCTGTACAAGACTAACAACCCGAGTTCAATCCCTGGACCTGGTGGTGGAGGTGATGAGAAGCATCAGTTGACATCATCCAGTTTCTCTTGTGGTCCATACGTCCATGAGGGCTTTCAATCACTGTTTCTCAGTTTGCTTGTTTGTCTGGGCCCCATTTAAACCAGCCTGCAACTCTCCACCTTCTTGCTCCTGCCTGCCAAGTGCAGGGACCGTAGGCAGGTGCCCACACTGAGAAGTGAATTACTAGTTCTTATTTGTTTGTTTGTTGAAACAGAGTCTCCCTGTTTAGCCCCTGAACTTGGGGTGACCCTCCTGTCTCTGCCTCCCAGGAGCGAGGAGAGCTAGGTGCTAACTCAGCCAACTTGAATTATTTCTAAAGTTAAAAACTCCCTTTTCGTTTTGGTTTTAGTTGGGGTTGATGCTAATGTCAGAACAAAAAGCAAAAGAAATTTGTGTATCCAAATATAAGTAATATAGCATGCTCCAAATACCATTCTATTTTTACTGGGCATCTTAGAATTTTAAAGCTTTAAAAAGATTTTTTAAAGGTTGATTGTATTTTTTAAATTGTGTTGGGGGAATAATAGGATTTTGTATTTTTTAATTGTGTGTTTTTGGGGGGAATGGTGTGATTTTGTATCTTTTTAATTGTGTGTTTGTTGAGGGAATAATGTGATTTTGTATCTTTTTAATTGTGTGTTTGTTTGTTGGGGGGAATAATGTGCTCACGGGTGCAGGTGTCTTCGATGGCCAGAAGAGGGCGCTAGACCCCCTGGTCTGGCGTCATAGGCACATGCGCTGTCTGGACCTTGCTTCAACACTGCGCCATCCTGCCATCCCTAAAGATTTGCTTTCATTATTTTGTGTATATGTGTACGTTCACGTGTTTAGGTGTCTCGGGACTTCAGTGCCCAGCACCGGTACTGGGTGACTCACAAAGACGTGCGTGTGTGTGTGTGTGTGTGTGTGTTTGCACATGTGCGGAGGTCAAAGGGCAACTTTGGGGGAGTGGGTTTGGCTTTCCTCCTTTCTAGGCCGAGGACTCTCTGTTTCTGATGCCCTGTATACCCCAGGTCAGCTGCTGTGATAGCTTCTAAACCATTCTCCCATCTCTGCTTTCCATCTCACCGCAGGGCTGCTGGGATTACAGATGTGCACCACCACACCCCACTGTGACATGATCCTTGGATAGACCATGGGCTGTCAGGCTTGCCTCTACCCACAGAGGCATCTTCGGCTTGGCTTTGAATTATCTGAGCAGAGATTCGCTTCTATTGTCTCACGAATAGCGTATCAAATTATACAACCCCCCCCTTTACTTAAAAAAAATTCTCAGGTTTTTTTTTTAAGGGTTATTTTTATTTTTTAATTATGTGTCTGTGTATATCTATGTGTGGGTGTGCACATGACTGCAGGTGCCTGCAGAGGCCAGAGGTATCAGATCCCCTGAGTTATACAGGAGGTTGACAGCCACCTGTGGGGGGCCTTGGTCCTTGGAAAGATCAGTTGTCACGCCTAACGACCGAGTCTTCTTTCTAGTCCCCTTATTTGAGTTTTGAGACTTTGCCCCACCAACATGTTTTGTTGTTGTTGTGATGGTGGTGGTAGCCAATTTCATTTCGGTTTGTTTGAGACGCGGACTCACTCTGTAGCACAGGCCGCCTTCAGCTTCATGGCAATCCTCCTGCTTCATCCTCTCCAGTGTTCTAGCTGTGAAGCCGTCATGCCCAGCTGACTGGACTGCTTTCCTCTGTGTGCGCGCGTGTGTGTACATGCGCACTTGTGTGTCCCCATGTGCATGCATTTGTGCATATGTGTGCATGCGTGTACATGTGTGTCTGTGTGTATGTGTGCATGTGTGTGTCGCATGCACATGTGTGCGTGTGTGCGTGCATATGTGTGTGTGCACACTCGTGTGCGTGTACGTGTGCATGTCCTTTCATTTTCCGAGGTGAACTGTAAGCTCCAGGAGGGTAAGGGAGTTTCATTTGATTTCTTGTATTTTCTAGCACTTGGCGCACACTCTACACACAATATGTCATATGTCTGTTAATTCAACTGACAGTTTTAGCCACATTGGTTTGTAAAAGCTGCCATACTAAACGACCACAGGCTGAGACCCTCGAATAACAGAAATGCCTCGTTGCCTGCTCCAGTCTGGGAGTCTGCAAGGTCTTTCTAAGGACGAAGCAGGACCTCTCCAGGAGTCTACCCTTGGCTTGGAGATAGCCGGTCTCATATTGCATTGTGTCAGCTTCTGTAATAGATCTCTCTTCGTCCAAATTTTCCCTTCCCATGAGGATACCATAATTCTATTAGGACCCACCCTAGCGAGAATGTTACATGGGCTCTCTTTCCACACGACGTTCTAGGACTTTAACACGGGGATCTGGAGAACACAAAATTCATGTTTAGTAGTAGCTTTCAGCGACTCATAAATGTTCCGAGAGGAGACCTTAAAGGTCAGTTGTGAGTTTGCCTGGTTCTAGAACCCTCTTTTACTCCGAGCCAAGAAGAGTATTTGTAATTTTAAAAACACTTTTGGCAACCGATTGGCGGGTTGTTCTCAGTTTTAATGCTTCTCTGTGTGCTCCCCAGAATGGTTCCCGCTGCCTAAGCCTCAGAGACTGCAGATTGTGTGGAGCAGGTAAGCACCTGCTCTCTTTCCTTTAGACGCAGAGAAGAGAGAGGCTTCCCTGTACCTCAGCGCACTGAGCGCCAGCCCCCAGCAGAAAGATGCCTCTGGGGAAAGCCAGCCCCCCAGGAGGGTGTTGGTTTTTCTTTACAAACCATTTTACTTTCAGTGAGTTTGGTCATTAAAATTGTTTTGTGCCCCTCAGCCATGCCCCAGGCCCCGAGAGCAGGAATGTTGGCCTCCAAGAAAACCTAGTGGGTTTATTATTCTCTGACAGACAGAAACCAAATAACATCACGGAGTGGCCATTGGAGGGGGAGTTTGATTCTTGGAGGTCATGCTTTCCCAGGCCCTCTTAACGTGGTCTCAGCTCAGACCAGGGCAGACCAGCTTTCAACAAATCCCTGGTTTCTTTTGCAAAGTAAAACAGATAATAGAGACATTCTGGGAATAGCTAGCTAACTAGCCAGGCAGCTTCTGGGCGAAGAAGAACTCAGTGTTTTCGGACAATGACCAATCACAATAACCAGCATTATTTGATCTGAGAGTAATTAGCAGAGGCTCTGTTCTTTTTTTGCTCCAGTGAGGAGGCAAAAAAGGCAGCAAGGGAAACATCAGAGGCCGGGGGAAGGAGCTCGGATGTCAAAGAAAAACACTCTCGCAGGTGGGGAAAGCAGAGAGCTTCCCAGCCAAGATCCCAACTGAACCCTGGAATGCTGGTCTTTGAATATGCAGAGTGGTTTAATCTAACCAAATGTGGCTTGATTATCCCATATGTACAATTTTTTTGTTTACTTTTAAAAGTTGAAAGTGAAAAACGGGTACAAAAAATAAACATAGAGCCACAGACTACCAGGGGATCTCTTATTGGGAAACGCAAGGCCCCCGAGGTGCCCACATGTTCTGCGTCCAAAGCACAGAATGCCTTTAACCCCATTATTTTCCGAGGCATGATCCCAGGAGCTGTTGTTTATAACAGCTCTTGGGGTGTGCAAACTCCAGTCACAATTACCGCTGAGCAAACACAGCAGACTGTCGATTGATCATGTTATAGTGACATTTTAATTTTTTGTTTGCTGATTTGTTGTTGTTGTTTGAATCAAGGTTTCTCTGTGTAGCCCTGGCTATCCTGGAACTCTCTCTATAGACCAGGCTGAGCTCAAACTCAGAGATCCACCTGCCTCTGTCTCCCAAGTGCTGGGATTAAAGGTGTGTGCCACCACCACCCAGGCAAGTTATCTTTACTGAAAGCCATTTAACTGAGTGACGTTGGCAGATAAACACACGCTATTTTTTATTTCATTTTTTTAGATTTAGGTATCACTGACTTTAAGGTATTCATTTCAGAAACTATGTCAAAGCTCTCAGGAATTTTGGCCTAACCTTGAGGGTTCCTTGGAGTCCCTAGAATATCAACGACGTGTTTTTGAGACCCTAAGTAGGAGTTGGGTCAGCTCCATTTTCTAAGCAGGGCAGGGCCATTTTTCATAGTCTCAACTTTGAGATTGAAATCAATTTAATCTTGCTAAGACACTAACAAAAGAAAGTACAGCCATCCTCTTGTGGACGCGTTGGGCACCGTAGCCCTAGCCTAGAGATACTTGGATCTCCATGCTGCTCCATAGCTCCCCTCCCTTCCACAATTGACTTTTTAAAAATACTCCAAACCACAAAGCAGCTTAATACTCTACGCTGCTGCTGTTGCCACTGCCACATATCCTTCCAGTTTCTTTCTTTTAGCTCTGAGCAGGACAAGAATTCTCTGTGTCACTTGACCCTCCTGGCCACAAGTCACCTACTGTCTCTGCCCATTCCTGTGCTTCTGGCCTTTGCTCAGACTTGCCTTTTCTCTGCTTGGTTCCTGGAGCAAGAAGTAATACCTGGAGCATTGCTAATCCAGTCGCCATGAGCCATACACGGCTCTCAGACGGAAACTGCTCCAAACTGAACGTAAAGTTCAGTTGTTCAATGACACTACCCATATTCCTAGGGCTCAGTAACCACGTAGGGACAGTAACTACTGTATCGGACTGAGTAAAAATAAATGATTTCCATTGTTGTGGAAAATTCTACTGGACAGTGCTGGCCTGTGTTAGCACATGAGAGAATCCCTAGCTCTGTGGAGAAGGGACGTTATGTCTGGTAGGTGCCCACCCTATGCTTCTGGGGGCTACATAGTACATTCCTTCTTAGTGTGACATTCTGGTGACAAATAGGAAGGAACTGAGGCTTAGAGAAACTAGGTTACCTGGCCCAGGGCCAGCCAGAAGGCAAGTGGAGGAACTAGGATCCATCTGCTGTACAGGGTTTCAACAGACTCAGGTGCAAGTCTGGCGAATCTAGAAGAGCTGAGGTATCTCCAGCCTTTCTGTACAGTTCCTACAGAGGTGGGATGGAATTGTGCAGGGGGCTAGAAACGGACCTTGCTGTGGGGTTCAATGGCAATCGCTTTGCTGTGATTGACAGACAAGGCTAGGAAAGCTTTCTGAATGTTTCTTCCTGCTGACGGATGTTTCTTACTGTGGGTGTCTACCGCATCCTCAAGAGAGAGTGTTAGAGAAGTTGCCCCTCTAGCCTTACACTTTCCCCTCTCTATGGATGTAGGGGAACCACGGTACCCAGATGAGCTTATGGTAGGCAGTCTCATCCCCTACTGTGAGGGTCAGTAGCAACAAGGGGCCCAGGAGAGCCTTAGACACAGAGGCGGGGTGTGCTAGGCAACTAAACCTTGTCTCACTCCTCTGAGAAGAACCATGCATTGTGTGTGTTGAGTGATGGGTCAATAGCTACTGTCAAGCCTGGGCAGAGCATGTGGACCTACCGGTCGTCCTTCATGCCCACTACCCTGGGATTTCCAAATTTCTTTATCTCGTCTGTGGACTTAAAGACCAATAACCCATTTGCAGAAACAGATTCATGCTGTAGAAATCAGACACCCGGATGTTTCTTATGCAAATCTCTTGCAAAAATTAGGCAAACCACAACCACGGGACAGGCGCTCCAGCATCCCTGTAACATGCCTGTCCAAGAGGGCACACGCTCCTCCTTCCTCCATGCTGATGTGTGGCTTTGACATCAAGCAAACCCCTCTAGGTTTTGCTTGACCGACTCATTTGTGGCCATGCAACTCAACGCAGAAGGTCAGGCTCCAGTCCCAACCACATCTCCTGTTCCAGGTCAGGGATGAAGGCTGTTAGAACAAACAGTAGTTTAGATGGATAATTCAGCCTTGGATGACAAAACACTTTGGATAATTTATAACCAACAAGAACATTCCAGAGGCCGGGAAGTCTGAGACGAGGGCACCGGCAGATTTCATGTCTGATGAGGGCTCTGTTCTTCATGCCTCTCCTTGGCATGCCTCTTCACGTGGTAGAAAAAAAAACAAAGGGCTCCCCAGAGTCCACTCGGTGAGGGTACCGAGCCGGTGGTGCAGGCTTCTCCTCCATAACCGAATCATCTCCCCAAGGCCAGACCTTCTGACGCCCAGAACTCAAACCTGCAGACTAGAGGAGGGCCTTTCCTTCACTGTTGTATCTGTGCCTGTGTGTGACAGCTCTGGGAGTGTCTGCACTCTGCGAGGGGTCAGCTTTGCCTCGTGCCGCCCAGAGCCGTCTGTTCACGCACGAGAGCTGCCCAGTAAGTGCAGTCGCTCATCTTGAGGAATGAATCACTTCTGCAAAACTTGGATGCTTGATTATTGCCACTGCCCAGCTCTGTCTCAAGGGGAAATCAAGGAAACGTCTTATCTGATAACCCTGGGGCTGAGCTTCAGAATCCCCGGTAATAAGATTGTTAATAAGACAATCTCCAGATTGTCCCACCCCTACCCTCACCCCAGAACTCCATGCTTCCTGTCTTTGGTATCCAGAGCCTGGAACATCCAGCCAACTAGGCCTTTCTTCCTGGTGGAGCTATAGTCCCCCTGCAAGAAGAAGCCTTCATGGTGTTTGTCTCGGCAATCACCAATCTGTGTCCTTCGTGCGCATAGGCCCAGTGACACGGTGGAGGCGAGGTTGACATTGTCTCCCTTCCTTCTAGTGGCCTTGTCACTTAGTCTTCAGTTTTTATCCTCTCCCCCTACCCCCAAACAGCAGCCTTCGAAGAAACTCCGATTCTTCCTTCTACTTTTCTAGGCTGAGTGGAGTTCCTGAAGCTGAAGACCTGGCCTCCCAGATGCTTAAAGGCTTCCCTAGAGACCGTGTCTCGGCACAGGAAGCCCTCACGCATGATTATTTCCGTGTCCTGCCATCCCAGCTGTACCAGCTTCCTGATGGTAAGTGCGTGCGTGTGCACGCGCATCGGCATCAAACCTCATCTTACATGTTTTTCCCCAACGCTGGAGAATCATGGAGTTTGCAAAGCAGAAGTGAAGTCAGAGGTTAATTTGCTTTCCAGAGAGCAAGAAGCAAGGGGACCCCAGTCTGCACTGAGCTTCTAGTAAGAGTCTCTAAAACCCAGAAGCACGGGTGGAGAAAGGTGACAGGGACCTCCTTGCAGTGATGCAAACCGTTCCCACACGCAAGCTTCTGCTTGGAAGCTGGCAGAGATGAAAGTTGCCTCTGAGGTGTTTGCTTCAGTGAGCATCTGCCAGGAGAAGCCAAACCAAAGTTTCTAACAAGCTGCTTCTCCCTTCCAGAGAGTAAGACGAGAGGTGACACGGATATGTCAGGAAGGAGAGATGGGCCCTTCTTGATTGGTAACGCGATGCCGCAGAAGGAAGCTGGGAGGTTGGGCGCTGGGGGAAGGGAAATGCCCTCCCAGGCTAGGCGCCCACTGCAAACACCGGTTACCCTGAAACCAGCCTTGGCCGCCTGTGCCTGGAGTCATCTTCCAAATCTGAAATCTGCCGAGGGGGGGTCACATGGCAGGAGCTCTACTTGGGTTTCTCAGAATGCGGCCAGGAAGGGCCAGGAGGAGGATGTGGGCGGTGTGCGGTCAAGGCCTGGGCTGTTTAGGGCGGGCTGGGGAAGAGTATCCTTAGGTGAGGTTTCTTTGAAAATATCCACATTCAATGGGAAACCGTCGTTTGAAGTCCTAAACCAAAGAAAAGAAAGCTGAGCGGAAGGCCTGAGGGTCAGGCTGGGAAGAGGGGGCTGGGGTGGAAGTGGGGTGAGGGTGGGGATAGGGTGCACTGGGGTGCAGAGCTAATGGCTCAGAGGCATAGATGGGTACAGCCTGGCCCAACTGCCAGGCTTCGTAAATGCAGCTTCCCGGGATCTTAGGCATTGTTGTGAAACAGCACAAATTTCTTAGTTGGAGATTATTGAGGAATTTTACTATTAAAGTCACTTAAGATCTCTAAAAATAACCATCCCCATGCAGGCGAGGTTAATATCTTACTTAACCCTGTAAGGAGAGGCAGCCATTAGAATTTATTAAGCTGCCGTTAAGTGTCAAGAACACATGAATTGCTATTAAAAAAAAAAAAAAAGTTGAGGAAAACAAGAGGCTTGTCCTTGGCCCGGAGGATCTTACGGAGTGGGAGGAAGAGAAGGTGGTGAAGAGGAAATGGGGTACCCTGTACACGTATTAGCACAAATCATATCAGAACAGCTCAGATCTGCTGTAATACGCCACAGATGTGTAGGGGCTGTCTGTGCTGGAGACGACTCTGGAGAAACGAGGATAATTCACGAGAGGCGGACAGGACCTGCGGTGAATCTGCAGAGGGTTTTGCAAGGAGGCTGAGAGAAGGGTCAGACAAAGGGCATTTTAGGAGGCCCACAGCACCCACCACTTTCCTGGCACCTATGCCCCACGTGTCCACGCCGCCTGACCTGTTCTGCCCCTCTGTTTCCAATCTGGGCCTACAGTCCTTCCTTCTCAATGCCTAACTCATACGTGTGCGTGTTCGGCCACGCACACACCCACTCCCATCTCTCTCCTTAAAGAAATGTTCCCTGTTAGCTTCCTGTGGAGTCTATTATTCTGGGCACTGGAGAACTTGAAGGCTGGCGTCTTCAAGCCTTTACGGGCACCAGCTTTTTAGTGAAGAAGCAGCTATCACTCTCCAAACTGGTGTGTCCCTAGGAACTTGGGTTTTGATTCTCCCCAGAAATCTGAAGCAAAGTTATCAACCAACAGACTCTGGAGCACACACTATCTAAAGATGTCTGTGTGTGTGTGTGTCTGTGTCTGTGTGTGTGTCTGTGTGTATGTCTGTGTGTGTCTGTGTGTGTGTCTGTGTGTGTGTCTCTGTGTGTGTGTCTGTGTGTGTCTCTGTGTCTGTGTGTGTGTGTCTGTGTGTGTGTGTGTGTGTGCGCACGCACATGCGCATGCACGCATCCACAAGGGCGAGAAAGAACAATCTGTATTCCTTCTCTGTTCACCCTGCCGCAGAGCCCAGATCTACTCTGACACTTTGAGAGAAATGAAAAGATAGAATCTTGCGGGAGCCTGCCTGTGCTGGGGGAGATGAGGAGTGCTCCCAGCAGGAGGGAAGTTGACTTTTCTTTATACATACAGGGGTTTTTCCATGCAGAGTTTAAATTATGCCTGATAAAAGGAGCTTCGTGGATGTTTCAGTTCTTTCAAATTCTCCTGGCTTCCTCCCAATTAAATGAGGTTTGTCAAAGCCACGGGGCTCTGCTGGCTGCTGCCTCGGTGGACAAGCACTTCCTGCAGCGACATCTCGAATCCCTGAGGGAGAAGATGAAAGGGCCAGCACCAAGAGACAGGGAAGAGGGGTGCCACCGTGTGTGTGTGTGTGTGTGTGTGTGTGTGTGTGTGTGTGCTTAGAGCAGGTGTAGAAATACAGACAGATCGACATTAGGATGTGAGGCAAGCAAGCAGGAAGAGCAAAGGAACTGGGAAATTGGAGAGGAGACTGGATAGAAGCCCCCAAGCAATCTGTGTCCCTTCGCTGCAGTGGCCCTGACTATGGGGCATCCTCCACTAAGGGCTGTGTCCCCTGGGCAAGGCACCGCCTCAGCCTGCTTTTTCATTGCCCCTGGCAAAGAGCCATTGTTAACAGCCCGCTCTGCAGACAGAATCCCAGCGGAGAAGCCCAGCTCCCAACCTGCAGGGACAGAAAATTCTCCTTTGCTGGGACGGGCTGCCACAGGCACCAGAATTGTGCGGAAAATAAGATGCGTTCTTCAGAGCGGTGTGTGAGAAGAATTGCTGTGTTGAAATTAGAGAGACTTTGCTCTCTGGAAGCATTTCAGCATGGACTTGTTTAGGGACTTATATTTACATCAGTCGATTCTGCTTTTATTCTGGTCACAGGATAAGAGAGTTGTGACTTTACAATATATTCTGTTTCCCCTTTGATCTGGAAGATGCCAGCTCTTATTGTCTGGCCTCTGAAGAAGACAATTAAGCATGAAACCTGGAAGTGGAGCTCAGAGGACAGCCCAAATCCCCACAGAAGGTTCCTGTGAAACTCCCCACAAAAATCAAAGGCCGGTCCCCATCAATCTATGCCGATTTTCATCAAGGCCGGGGCTCCAGCCACACTTTCCCTGGGTTGTGGCAGTACGTTTAGAGTCCTAGGAAACGGATCAAAGGTGATTTGTCATGGAAACCCAGGAATTCCAGGATTAGCTCCCAGGTGGAGATCCCTGCTAAGGGGGTGGGGGTGGGGGGTAGGGAGTGTCAATGTGAGAAGGTTGAGCCTGTGGGAACGTCTGCCAAGTCCCTCCTTGACTCTTGAACACCTGAAGAAACATTTGTTGAAGGAGAAATTATTGGTAGTCCCTCTCTCAAAACACACCCATCGGCAAGCTAATTGCTTCTGCAGATGGCCGGGGAGCAGTTCTTCCCAGCCGGCACCAGCTCATGGCCGCGCTTGTGGTCCCCATGGCCAAGCCAGCAGCGCAGGCCGTCAGCTGGGGCAGCGAGGACCTAAAATTAGACCCTTGGCAGTTCTCTAATCTTAGCTGCAGGTTCAGCCTCTTTGCTTAATTCCCTTTGCCCTCAGCGTGAACTTGGGCTCTGGGGAAGGAACACCAGTTAGTGATTTGGGGGTGGAGGGGTAGAAAACCATTAAGCTGCTCCTTCTAGAAATACTCCATCTGTCCATTCTTACAGGAAGCCTTCCAAACATTACCCTTAAAAAAAGTGAAGGCTGATTTTGGAAGCCCGCCATTCTTAGTACACACGCTGATCCACAAGAGAGTTTTTTATCTGGGCCAGTAAATGCCACATGATTTAAGAGTCTGGTCCTTAAGCCAGGGCTCTTGATCGTCAAGACATCAAAGGTTCTCTCTCTCTCTCTCTCTCTCTCCCTCCCTCCCTCTCTCTCTCTCTCTCTCCCTCTCTCCCTCCCTCTCTTTCTCTTTCTCCCTCTCTCTCCCTCTCTCCCTCTCTCTCTCTCTCCCTTTCCCTCTCTGTCTCTCTCCCTCTCCCTCTCTTTCTCTTTTTCCCTCTCTCTCTCTCTCTCCCACTCCCTCTCCCTCTCTCTCTCTCCCACTCTCTCCCTCTCCCTCTCTCTCTTTCTCCCCCCTCTCTCTCCCACTCTCTCCCTCCCTCTCTCTCTCCTTCCCTCTCTCCCTCCCTCTCCCTCTCTGTCTCTCTCTCCCTCTCTCCCTCTCCCCCCCTCTCCCTCTCTGTCTCCCTCTCCCTCTCTCCCTCTCTCTCTCTCTCTCTCTCTCTCTCTCTCTCTCTCTCCCTCCCTCTCCCACTCTCTCTCCCTCTCCCCCCCTCCCTCTCACCACCTCTCCCTCCTCTCTGTCTGATTTTCTACCCTAATCCAGGTTTGAATCAGTCTCTACCATTCCTTCCTGGACTAAATCCCCTTCTCTCCTTTAAAATAGATCTTGGCATCTTAGAAAAAAAAATATCCTGAAGTTTAAAAGCGTACCGTGTTTCACATGCTTTGGGAGATACAATATGCTATGAGCTACACAAGGGTGGAAGAGCCTGGAGCAGTTAGCTCTGCTTTCCCTACCTCCTCTCCCACTGCCCTGCTCCTGAGAGCCCTGCACTCTTTCTTCCTGCCCCTATTAACACTGGACTCATATTTTGCTTCGCTCCAAAAAAAAAAAAACGGACTTCTCTTTTAATGTTATATCTCTATACATTTGATGACTCTCTGATGCCACATCACTGTTCAGTCGTTTCTGTAGTCTAGGTTTCTGTAATATTATTATTATTTTGAATGTGTGTGTGTGTGTGTGTGTGTGTGTGTGTGTGTGTGTATCATGACTGTGTGGAAACTGACCTGGGAGTCATTCCTTGGGAGCTGTCAGCCTTGGTTTCTTAGACGATTGATAGAAGCATCTCACTAGGATCTGGGGCTCACAGGTTAGGCTAGGTTAGGCAAGCAGTCAAGTTCCAGGGATCCGCCTAGCCTATCCCCTCTCCAGTACTGGTGTTACAAGTTCTCACCACCACGTTTTCATAGGGATAGATGCTGAGGCTCAAACCCAAGTCCTCATGATTGCACAGCGAGTATTTACCCTCTAAGGTGGAGCTCCAGCTCCTTACTCCTCCTCCTCCTCCTCTTCCTCTTCCCCACCACCATACTGGGGATTGAACCCAGGACCTCACACATGCTTGACAAGTACTCAACCCCCGAGCCTTAGCCTTCTTTAACCACCTCCCACCACATACACAGCAGATATAAATTTCATTCCTCCCGCTTTTTTTTTTTTTTTGTCATTGGGTCTTATTGTTGAATTCTGAAATTCTTCCACTTTTTGTCTCGAAGACTCTGGACCCAGCACAGAGTCTGGTTTCTCACACAGTGGGCAAATTATGCTCCAGTTCATTCATCGAATATTTACCGAGTGTCTATTAGGTGTGATGCCGAAGAAGGGAGCAGTGAATGGGGCGAGGACCTTAATCCTCCAAGCACATACAGTCCTTAAATTAATGAGGCTGGTCCGTGAACAGCTACAGGTGAGCAGGCATGCACGAAGTTCCCTGAGTGTTTGGAGAACCTGAGCTTAAGTAAGGTCACCTTGGAGAACCAGGAGGACCGCAAGGAGATCTTGAATGATAATGAGTTGGGCGATGCGAGGGCAAGAGGAGAAGGCTCGACGGCAAGAGACTGTCCGTGTGAAAATGAGAACCTGAGTTTAGCTCCCAGTTGGGCAGTGGTGGTGCACACCTTTGATCCCAGCACTTTGGGAGGCAGAGGCAGGTGGATCTCTGTGAGTTCGAGGCCAGCCTTCTCTACAGAGAGAGTTCCAGGACAGCCAGAGCTACATAAAGAAACCCTGACTCGCGAGGGGGAGGCGGGGAGGGAATCCCAGCATGCATGTAAAAGCGAGGGGCATGGTCTGTTACCCCAGCATGGAGACGGTGGATCACGGAAGATCACTATGCATAGATTTGTGTTGCTATGGGGTAGGTCAATCCACCAATCCCTCCATCCCACCAAACCTTTAAATTGGTTAAATTTTCCTGCATCACAGGCTCAGAGTCTCTATGCCAAGATAAATCATTCAGGAAAGAATAAGACCTGGGGCAGGGAAAGGACCTTGCAGGCTGTTGTCCCACACCGTCACAGAGAAATGTGTGATGCTGGAGAAGAATCACAAGGGTCTCCTTCATGGCCTAGGCTGGAATTACTATTCTCATAGTGTAGATTAGAAAACCAGGACGGCTAAGGTATGGAGGTGATCTCAGTACTCAAGAGGCTGAGGCAGGAGGATTGCATGTGTGAGACTTGTCTGGCCTACCTGGAAGACTGAGAGTGAAGTCACACAGCTGTAAGTGGCAAAGCCAAGGTTTTGACGTCACACGAGACTCTCAGCCCCCGCTCATCCCCAAAATCCATTTTATACCCAGACCTCTTGAGGATGTTATAGCAAAACAGTCTAAGAGTCAAGGCCCATTTCCAGTGCCTATGCCTGTTGTGGCTCTGTTTGCTGTAAAGCCTGACTGGGAAAGGTCCCACAGTTCCCAAGTTGCATGTTTCATACCTCAGCTTGGTATGTTATTGATAAGATAGAAATTTACACCCCACTACCACCTTCCCTTGTACAATGAGGTTCAAGTATCTGCTGTTTTTACCCAATCTTCCCTTTTTGTGCTAACACCCACAAACACCCTTGGGTCCTGAGATTTCTTACTTGCTGGTGGTTAATGGTTTTGTTTCGCTCTCTGTTTGGCAAGAAAAAACAAGAATCAGATGAAAATGGGGGGAAGGACATAAAATAGCAGTTTACTCCAGAGGAAACAAAAAAAAAGCACACCCATCACGTAAAAGGATAGCTTTGGGGGCTAAACAGAACCAAATAACTGTTAAGTTAGGGTTTTTTTGTTTTGTTTTCCTTTAGCCCAATGACTCCCAGGGAAGGAGATGAAGCAATCAAAAAATTCTCTGCTGCCAGGAGTGTAGATCAGCTGACTGAGGCTTCCATCAGTATCAGATCCAACTAACCTTAAGTATCATTAGCTATCCAAAACTGCTCATAATCAAGATACTTTTATTCCCTGAAATGACCTGGTTAAACAATCAAGCAAGCTTAAAACATAACCAAATAAGCCAGGTACTGGTGGCGCATGCCTTTAATCCCAGCACGGGGGGGGGGGGGGCAGAGGCAGACAGATCTCTGAGTTTGAGGCCAGCCTGGTCTACAGAGCAAGTTCCAGGATAGCCAGGGCTATACAGAGAAACCCTGTCTCAAAAAAACAAACAAACAAAAACCAAGATGTATGCAAATACGATATATAATTGTTTAAAAGTTACAAAATAACAATAAACAGTTTCAATACTGAGCACTAGAGAACCTGATTGGGTAAATATCAATGTGTTGACTGGACACACAGTGCTGTGTACCCCACTTAAAGCTGCTCATGGCAGTGTGCAGTGGGATGGAACCACTTCTGCCAGGACATAAGATACATAAAACCAGAAAAGTGGGCCTGAGCGTATGTGACCTCAGTCCCAAATAGAGAGGCAGACCGTACGTTTGGGGGCCACCTGGGTCACATAGCGATGGCATCTTTTAAAACGGGAGAGAGGGAGCGATGAACAAATAGAGAAGGAGGAGGAGAAGAAAAAATAGTTAAAAGAGGAAAGCCAACTGGCATGGTGGTACGTGCCTTGAACTCTAGCGCTCAGATGACAGAGGCAGGTGGTTCTTCATGAATCCAAGGCCAGGCTGGCTGGCCTACGGAGCAAATTTCAGACCATCCAAAAGTACGCAGTGAGTTGCTGCCTCAGAAACCAAACCAAAAGCATGAATACAGAATGGCACATTATAACCAACTTGCAAAAGTTATGTGCATATTAGCAAAATTGGAAGTTAACACAGAGAATAAAAATGTTCCAGATTGCTTTCCCTCCTTTTCAGAATTGTCTTTAATGGTGATGATTTATCTTTTGTTTTAAGAATGAGTTAGACCAAAAGGGTACAGTGGTTCTGAGAACTAAGGCCTATGTTTTCTTGTTCTTTTTTTTCTTCCTTTCCCCAAAACCAGATGCACCACTGGCCTTCATAAGCCTTGAGTTTTCCATAAGAACGTGGGTTAGTATTAGTTTCTTTTATCCCAGAATGAACTGAACATTTATGAAACCTTCAGCTCACTGAATATGAGGGTTTGTATGAGTCTGGTTCTAGGGGATGAGAGGCAAAATGCAGAGGGAAAGACAAACAGGCACCAATTAACTTTAAAAGGAAAGATTATCTGCTTTAATGTGCCCCTAGTCTGAGTCGTGAGTGTGCCCTGGGTTAGTTAGCAACTTCAGTTAAAGGTACTCTGTAGTCCCTTGGGCTGTGAAGACACAAAGCTGCCACACACACATACACATACACACACACACACACACACACACAAATACTTGCACAGAAGTGTGCACTCCGAATAATCGCACACAATATACAGTTTTAGTGGCTGGACTGATTATGTGTCAGAACAACAGCACGTGACGGAGGAAGGATCAAGACATTTTGCAAGGCTGGTTTAATCTCCAAGTTCTTTGTGACTCCTTTAGTATGGACAGGGGAGAT